TAGTAGTAGTAGTAGTAGTAGTCACCATGATGACAGAACCTGAATTATTAGCGGGTGATGCCCAGGCGCACCCCCTGGCGCTCGCCTGACAAGTGGCGCCAACTCCAATCAGCAATTACTTCCTGTAATTCTGCTGCGAGGGGAACAAGCAGACGCATAGAAAAGTTACACAAAAAAAAACACAGGTTAAAAATACTTGTCAGCAACTGGCGTAAAAAAGAAAGCCACATCAAATGCATTTACTTCAAATCTGTCATTTGCAACTATGAAATATATAGTTAAGACACTACACTATCTCTCCTTGTTAAAAACAATCTTTAAATAAAAAGCATAAACTAACAAAGTCTTGTTACAATAGTTGTGGCATGTATACATCTCTTTAAGAGTTATGTGATGAGTGCACTGGTGCTGACATTTTCTCGTTCTTTCATTTATTTCTTAATATATGAAATCTTACGCCAATCTGACAACATTTTTGATCAAAGTTACCATAGTTTTGGAAAAGTATGAACTGCTTTAAATTAACAATCCAAAGACAGTACCACACATGTTTGTGCAGCAATATTTTCTCAATATTTCAATATATTTTCTAATATGAGTTACTATGTTTCTGACAGGAACCTTGATCTGTGCCCTTTTACAAATGTTGAGACAAGCAGAGCATATAATTATCATGCACACACACATGTACACAATGGTCCCGCATGTACACTCTGCAGTCAGACACTACCCTCCACATGTAAAAATGCTCGCTTGCCCCCCGGTATGGACAGTACCACTCATGACAGCTACTCACAATAACTCTCATATTAAAACACTGTCATAAGTGGTTTACAGGATTCACTGGGTATGGTCATCAACATTGCCAGTTTGTACTACACACTTTGCCTACTAATGAAGAAAATGTCTGTTATATAAAAAGATATCAACTGCAGAACACATTATGTACTTATATAAGTTACTTTAAATTAAGCGCTAAAACAATGTAAATAAGTTGAATTACTAACAGAAGCTGTCAATCGTGCTGTTGACAATTTTCCAGTGTGACAGACACCAAATTAACTGTATGAGCACAAAAAATGAAGACAGACACTCTTCTGATGCTGGCAATACTGGTTTCACCAACCCAACCACTGCGCACAGACCATTCCACATTCACACATTTCAATATCGAACGGACAGTCCAAGTGATTATTCATGGCTTTTTCATCATATTATGATGACCCAAATAATGAACTGTTGCATCAACACAGTCATTACTTCAAAAGATGAATAAACCATAACCTCAAGATTCGCTATAAATTCTGCACAAAGAAAATACCGTGGTCATGATATTGAGTTCCTGATACTCAAAAGTTAACAAGTAAGAATAGGCTTTTGAAAATAAAATGTAAACAGAACTACTGCCATCACAGATGACTGCTAATATACTCTTGCCATGATTAATCAGAAATGCAGAGTACAGACCAGGCAGGGTGAGATAAGGTTATGTAGGCAGCCACAACTAGTGAACTGTCTTGTAAACGCTGAACTGTAGATTTACTGGAATCCATACCAAGCTGTACATTTCAACAGGTGAAGTCTCAAGTCATTCATGTGAAGAAACCTTCAAGGTTGGTCACCTTGCCTGGTCAGCTGCTGCGTGTAAGGCTGTCCGCCCACAAAACAGCCGAACGAGCGGCCATGTGACCTGTCCTCCTAAGGCCTACCTGGTGGCAGCAATGTGGGGGTATAGGTGAATGTGTGGGGTTCACTGGTCTTGCCACCTGACACCACCAAAAGCCTTACTGTGACTGGCTCTGTTAAGTCCACCTGCTGGTATGCAGGAACCACGCACACCAGATGAGTCTGCAATAATATACAATAATATAGAAAAAAATCTGGAAACTTTTACTCTAATTTGAACTACACATATTTTCCAAGTAAGTTCTTCACTATTTTGTATACTTCATTGGTCTCCACATTAATTCACTGCAGATTTGAGTGTACAATTCACAGAGCTAACCAGCAGGGCCTCCCTAATTTAGTAATGAATTTCAGTAATTATATGGTGGGTGTCTCTGTGCTAAATAACCTCCATTTAAACATTTTCCTCATCTTAGTGTAGGAAATCACTGCTACCCAAAGAAGTCTTAAAAGGTGGTTTGCTGCATTATAAAGATAATTTACACACAGGTTACAAGGCCTACTTGAATACCTTTCTAGTGTGTGGCTGCATTTTCATTGCACCCCAATCCAGAAAAATGAAAAAATGATTACTGCCCCTTTTGCATGCATGCCCAGTTAACATGACATTCCACATGCCTGCTGGAGGAATTCTTTGTCTGGCTGGACAGACTCCTCCCAAGGTGTCTCCGATAATGCATCACCATGCTGAAATACCACTCTTGTATCCTTCAGGAAGTTCTTGCCCAGAATAAACAGCTCCATGCCTCCTGTACAAATGCATGCTGACAGAGATTTCTTGCAGATCTCAGGCACACCTGGTGGTTGGGCTGTGGACATACCAGCATTCTATTTCACAACATGTTCATGGTTTCCAAAAAATAAAACAGTCCTGTTCACTTACACACTTTGTTTTAAAAGGAAAGACAAGCTTACAGTATCATCATGTGCATGTATCTGTCCCTAACTAGTGGCAATTAAAACCAACTGAAGAAATTTCATGAAATTTGGTATACATGTCAAGCAGCTAGACACCACTCCACAAATCTACTTCTCAATTTCCTGCCATCAATAATTTAACAATA